TACTGCTATTGCTATTGCTATTGCTATTGCTACTATTTAAAAAAATGGAAATTCAAATACAGATTTTTGAAGTCAGCTAAGTTTTCCATCATTATGAACATGGTAAACAAGCTGCTTAAGGCTGCCATGTGGAAGAGATCATAATCAGAAGTTGAATAAGTGAAATCAAAGATTCACCCTCATCCAAAATATTCCTCCTTTTAGTAATCCAAATATGACCACTCACTAATCAAAATGAGAACCAAAGGTCTATGGGTTTTTTGTAAACTGTTTCCTAATATTCTCCATCTGGCAATATGACAATCACTAACACATAAAAAACCATACTTTTATAAAAACACCAGAACTGCTATTTAATCTTGAAAGCTAATTAAGAGTAAAAAGTAAACTTTAGAAAGGATTTTTTTAAAAAAAATATTTTGTTGTTATAAGTAGTCCTCATTTAACAGCCACAATTGGGATTGGCAACATGGTCATTAAGTGAAGCGGTTGCTAACAGAAACTGCTTTACAGATCTGTGAAGGTTGTAGATCTAAGAACTAATTGCAAGTTGCTTTTTCATCAATATCATAACTATCATAACTGTCATCACTAAAATGACTACATGTATATTTTTAGATGGTATTATTTTGAGAAGTTAATTGCTGCTATCCTTATTCATTTAGGAAAAAAAAGGAGCAGTAGCAATATTCATATTAACTTGTTTGTTCATTCAAGAAATCTCACTTGGAAAAATAACCAAATTAATTCTCTTTCTGAATAATTTATTCATATTATTTTGCAGCCTCCTGATCTACAATAACAATTTTGAGAAGTTTTAAAACAGGTCAAAAATATGAAGTACTTTCACCGGAAGCAGTTTTGCTTCAGCTATTTTCTAATTTCCTTGTTTTTTTTTCCAGCAGCAATAAAGTGTCCAGAGAACAGAGTTTGCAAAACTATAATATTCTGCTGATTTCTGAGATGCAGGGATCATTTGATTTAAGTTCCTCTTAAAACCGCTCTACAGTATCGCTTTTTACAAAGTTATACCTCAGAAAAATGCCATATTCAGTAGCTCTCTAAAATCTGAGAAATCTTGCACCTTCCCATATAGAAACTCAAGAAAAAGAAAATGATTACTGCAGGAAATTATTATCTGCCTAATATTTTTATTTAGTAGGGATAGAATATAAAAAAGAAAGACCTAAGTATTAGAATAACAAAATTAAATCTGGATAATTAGTTGTAAGAGAATGTTGATTTGTGGCAATAAAAAAGAGCCCCCCAGCTCTTTTTGCAAAATGCTACATGTGGGGGGGGGGCATTTATTATTATTGCAGTGTTTCTGAACCTCAGTAACTTTAAGATGTGTGAACTCCCAGAATTCTAGGAAAAAATGATAGGGAAACATTGATCTATTATATCAAACGAATAACTTTTGTAAAACATTTGTAGAAAACATAGTTTTTCTATCATTGAATACTTAACGGCTTTCAAGAATTGTACTTCAAATTTTGCTTGCAATTTCTGCATTGATTGTAAAACTTTTTTTTTATTATAATGAAATCCAGATTGTTCTGAGTGACTAATCTTCAGTGGGAATTGTTCGAAATGTCTTCAGCCTCAAGGCCAATATTTTAACTGAGGAAAGCAAGCCTAATCTTAGAGTTGGCAAATGGAAGAGAGTTAGGGCAGAATGGAAAG